CTAATAAATCGTCTCTTTAGTCTGCTGCTTTACCTCTTCTGCAGTCGCTGGGTTTAAGGCCCCGAGCTCCCCTGGGGCTTCGAACTGAAGCCGGTAGAGTTTTACTAGAACTTGGCTGATGACTAAAAAGGCCAATTAGAAAGCTATCAAACGGCACCTGGGCTCCTGAAGCATTTCTGAGCGGGGACCGCAGGCTTCACCACTTTTTCCTCCCTCAGCATCTGCGAAGGAATGTTCCAGCAAGCCGGGCAGGCGGCGCACTCCTGCAATCCTGGCACTCTGGGAGGCTGAGGCAGGAGGATCACAAATTAAAGCCCAGCCTAGGCAGTTTAGTGACTTATCAAGATCTTGCCTCAAAATAATAAAATAGCCCGGTGTGGTGGCGCACGCCTGTAATCCCAGCACTCGGGAGGCTGAGGCAGGAGGATCGCTGTGAGTTTGAAATCAGCCTGGGCTACATAGTGAGTTCCACGTCAGTCTCAACTACATGGTGAGACCCTGTCTCAAAAAACCAAATAATAATGATGATGATGATGATGATGACCATGATGATAATAATTGTAATAAAGAAGGCTGGGGAGGCGGCTGTGTGCAGGTCCTCAGTTCAATCCTCAATACTCGAACCAAATAGACCTTGTCTCGTAGGACTCATGACATGTATTTAAACACAACAATGATAGCATCGAATCGTGTTTTTTAAAATGTAGTTAGGGCTGGGGATTTAGCTCAGTGTTTCTGGCGCCTGCCTCGAAAGGGCAAGGACCCGATTCGATCCCGGGTACCAAAAATAAAAAAAAAAAAAAAAAAAAAAAAAAAAAGTAGTTAATGTGCATCAGCTCCTCGTCCCGGGCTCTCGGTATCAGGAACGCGGCTGCGCACGCAGGTGACAGGTGTCCTTCGAGCGCCCGCCACGCGGGCCACCCCTCTCCAGCGCGCAGCCAGGCGGCGCAGCGGATGAGCAGCGCTTCTGCCTCCGCTTCAAAGCGCGGACTCAGCACCGGCCTCCTGAGAGCTGGGATGAGTGCCTTCACCATGTCTGACTACAGACATTTCATCTTTGGAAACTCCCCCCCCCCCCCCCCCTTTTTTTTTTTTTTTTTTTTTGAGACAAAGTCTCACTATGTAGCGAGGCCTCGAACTCTCAGTGATCCTCCTGCCTCAGCCTCCCTAGTGCCGAGATTACAGGTATACCACCAGGCCTGGGTTTATTCCCTTTTTTATTTTTATTTTTCCTCTACCTTTTACAAGTACAAAAACTTTTTAAAAAAGGAGGGAAAAGGGGAGGAAGGGAGGAGGAATGAGAAAAAAAGCAAGATATATCATGCACAGGTACAAATTGCCTATGATGAATGTTATCATATGTATCTAAAACGTACCAATGAATGTTTTGCATTTTTTAAAAAAAAGTACAAAAACTAAGGCTGAAGCAAGATACATCATGTAAAGGTACAAGATCCCAAAGATGAATGTAACTGTGCCTTTAAAGTACCAATAAACTTGATGAAAAAACAAAACCAAGGCTGGGTGTGGCGGCACACACGTGTAATTCTAGCACTCAGGGGGCTGAGGCAGGAGGATCACTAGGAGTTCAAGGCCATCCTGGAATACAAAGTGAGACCTATAGCTGGGCGTCATGGCGCACGCCTGTAATCCCAGCACTCGGGAGGCTGAGGCAGGCAGATCGCTGTGAGTTCAAGACCAGCCTGGGCTACACAGTGAGTTCCAGGTCAGTCTCAACTACATAAGTGAGACCCTGTCTCAAAAAAACACCAAAATAAATAAATAAATAAAACAAAGTGAGACCCTGTATATATATATAAAAAAACAGAAAACAAGAATAAATCAATAAATACATAAATAGACAAAACTCGTCCAGGAGGCAGGTGTGGCAGTACACACCTGTGACCCTAGCATTCTGGGAGGCCGAGGCGAGAGAATCATGTCTTTGAGCCCAGCCTGGACAAGTTAGCGATTTAGTAAGACCTCGTATCAAAAGAACACGCAGCTCCGGCGCCTCCCTCCAGGTAGCCCTGCTGCCTCCAGGGTGCCCCTTTCCGGCCCTTCTCCTACTCTGCCCAAGCTTGCTCTACAGAGCCAGTTCTCCTCCGCTCTTCGCTGTCACTTCCCTGAATAAATGTGGCCACTGGTGTTTGCTCATTTCGTTCAATTCTTTAAAAAAAAAAAAAAAAAAAAAAGAGAAGTAAAAAAAAAGGGCTAGGGATACAGTCTTGGGTTCAATTCTCAGTACCAGGGGAACAAAAAAACGAAAACAAAAAGCCATGAACTGGGGATTTAGCTCAGTGGTTCCGCTGCATCCCTCACAAGTACAAAGACCTGAGTTCGATCCCTGGTACCAAAAAAAAAAAAAAAAAACAACACCAGCCTGACCTACATAGTGAGACCCTATCTCAAAAAGCCATAAGATGGTTTTTGGTTATTTTTGACCCTATTTCATATCCAAAAAGATCACTAAACTAAGCATTCATTTATTTAGGCCACAAACATTACTTATTTGTTATCTAAGAACACCCATCAAAAGTCAAGAAGGGCCGGGGATTTAGCTCAGTGGTTCTGCCGCCGCCTGCCTTGCAAGCACAGGTCCCAAGTTCGATCTCTGGTACTAAAAAAAGTCAAGCAAGGGGCTGGGAACTTAGCTTAGTGGTTCTGCCACCTGCTTTGCAAGTGCAAGGTCCTGAGTTCGATCCCTGGCACAAAAAATTTTTTTTTTGTCAAGCCAGTTCTAAAAAAATAATCAATGCTGGGGATTTAGCTCAGTGGTTCAGTGGCCTGCCTCGCAAGCACAAGGACCCGAGTTCAATCCCCGGTACCAAAAAAAAAAAAAAAAAAGAATCAATGAATTCTAGGCTCTCAGAATTCAAAATTTAAAACCAAAGAAGCAGGTGGCTTCTGCCTATAAACCCACCTACTCAGGGTCCCAGCCGGGCAGGTTAGTGAGGTCTGTAAATAAAAAATAAGAGCTGAGCTCAGTCATAGAGAGAACCTTCAGGTTCCACCCCCAATATCGCAAACAACACAAAATATCCCAACTGAAATTTTGTTTTATGATACTAGTATTATGATTAATTTTTGTACCAGGGATCAAATGCGGGACCTTGCGCTTGAGAGGACGGTGTGGTGCCACTGAGCTAAATTCCTGGCCTTATGATACCATTAGAGTTATACTGGTAGAATAGGAAAATCTTGGGTTGGGGATTTAGCTCAGCAGTTCCCACGCCTGCCTTGTAGGAGCAAGGTCCTGAGTTCGATTCCTGATACAAAAAAACTAAACAAAACATAAGAAAATATGATATTTGCATAATCACAGATATGAGTATTAGAGATTGAACATTAATTTTTTTCTATTTTGTGTGTGTGTGTGTGTGTGTGTGTGTGTGTGTGTGTGTGTGAGACAGGATCTTGCTATGTAGCCCAGGCTGGCCTCAAACTCGCAGTGATCCTCCTGCCTCAGCCTACTGAGTGCAGGAATCGCAGCCATGCACCACCACTACCAGCCGCATACTAAATTTTTAAAACTAAAGCCAGGTGCAAAGGTGAATGCCTGTAATCCCAGCGCTTTTTTTTTGTTAAGAGTAGGAAAAATTTATTGAGAGAAAGGGGGACCAGAATGTGAGTTGCCCAGTCCCAGCACTTTGAGAGGCTGAGGCTGGAGGATCACAAATTCAAATCCCACCTGAGGAAGTGATTGAGACTTTCCTTATCTCAGATTTTCAAAAAATTTAAAAAGGGGGGTAAAGGTGCAGCGAATGATGGAGCGGCCCTGAGTTCAGTATCCAGTACTACAAAAAAGAAATTTCCAACCCTCCAGTATCCAGGAGTCATCTTGCATTATAGAAAACGTTTTGGACAGCAGCACAGGGTGGTGCGCGCCTGCTACACCGCCGCGTGGGAGGCAGGAGGGCTGAGAATCCGAGGCTGGCCCCGGCTGCGTCGTGAGGCCGAGTCTCAACCCACGCGATCGAGCGGCGGGGCGCGGCGGCCCGGGGTCGGCGGGGCTCAGATAATCCCTCGAAAACTGCCAGTGTCAGAGCAACACCGCGGCATCGCTGTCCCCCAAGGCGCAACTGGAATTTTCCAGGGATAAAGGAGCGGCTGTCATGGGTCAGGGGTTGAACGGTCGTAAACTTCCTGTGGCTTAGAACTTCGTAAACTTCAGAGATAAAACCCCAGCTATTAACAGTGAGCTGTGGTCTTTGACCCTTTGAGGTGTCTCAGAGCTGAGGAAATGAAGCCACAGCATCGGATTCTCCTCCCTATTTGAGGCTAACCTTTTGTTTACATTTTTTGGTACCAGGGACAACTCAGGACCTTGCGTTTGTGAGGCAGGCAATGGAACCACTGAGCTAAATCCCTGGCCCTACATTTTTTTTTATTTTTTTGAGATGGGGTTAAGGGGTCTGTGTGTGTTGCCCAGGTTGGACTTGAACTAGACGCAGGAGATCCTCCTGCCTCTGCTTCCCACACACTGGGATCACTGGTCCATGCTACTGTCCTATGCGAAGCAATGTAAGACACTTTTAACTTGGCAAAGAGGAATTTAGAACTGTGATTATTATGCATAAATTAGCCCATTGCATAGATGAAAGTAGCATTAGAAATGGGAAGGAACTGCCGGGCATGGTGGAGCAGGGCTATAGTCCCAGCACTCTGGAGGCTGAGGCAGGAGGACCGCCATGAGGTTGAGACCCTGGGATACATAGTTCAAGGTCAGCCTGAGCGACATAGAGAGACTGTTTCAAAAACAAAACAAAATAAAAACGAGGCAGGGAATTACTCCAGAGGTGAGGCAGGAGGAGAACAGCCTGGGCAGCTCAGCATGCTTCTGTCTCATAATAAAATAGAAAGGGCTGGGGGTACAGCTCAGCACTGGGGGGTCAGGGAGAGGAGAAGAGGCCCCAGCCAGCACTGTGAATTTACTGCAGATAACAAACGCCCCGGAGCGGTGAGGACACTAAAACAAAAAAACAAACCTGTCAGGGCGGTCCTCACAGCTAGAGGAGTGGGAACCGAGCCGGCCCTCCCTCTGCCTCAGGGCCAGGGCTCGGCCTTCTGGACTTTTCTTCCCAGAGTTTCGAGATCAAAGCCAGTGCTGCAGAGGTTAGGAAGGACCGCAGGATTCCCGGGCAGGCAAAGCCCTGTGCATTTTGCTGTCATTGTCCCACCCAGCTGCTGGTGACTAAGTCCACGGATGACTAAGGAGGCCGGGCTGGGCTGCAGCTGCGCCCCAGGACACCGCCCAGCAGGCGGGAGGCCTGGGCTCAGCCAGAAAGAAAGAGGAAGAAGCCTACTGGTGCAGGCCGGTGATCCTGGCTTTCTGGGAGGCTGTGGCAGGAGGATTGCAAGTTGAAGCCCATCTGGGGCAATCTGGTGCTTTAGTGAGACCCTGGCTCGAAATAAACAACAAGGAAGAGCTGAGGATGTAGCTCAGGGCCAAGTGCCTTGGTTCCATCCCCAACCCTGTAACTGACAGAGTAAAATGGAACCGAAACAGTTAGGCTTTTTTATTTTTTTGCTTCACAGCCAAGTGGCTTCTGCAGACTTCTTCAGTTCAGGCCCAAACGTCAGTCTGCCCAGACTGAGGGGCGGATGCCGATGCCAGTAGGAGGCCCAGCCCGGCTGCACCCTGGGAGGAAAGGGACAGGCTGGGGTGGGGGTGGAGCACGGAGGTCTGCGGCCCTCCTGCCTCGGCCTCCTGAGTTTGGGGATTACAGGTGAGCGCCACTGTCCACCACACGGATGACTTAGATGAACTGTCGGCTTTTTGATTTCACACAGACAGACTTTCTAGAGGTGACACCGTACGGGACAGCGAGCGCAGGTGAGTTGCCTGCCCAGTCCACGTATTCAGGACGGTTTTTTTTTTGCCCTGTCTTCTTTCTCACAGTAAGTACAGGCTCCCGGGACGCTACTGCCCCACAGGAAACTCTGAGTTGCAAAATCAGCTACACATGTTGAGAAATGTGTCAGCGAAGACAAACAAAAACAAATCTTACAATCTGATCTGTTTAATGTGGGCCTTGTAGAACGGGAGTAGCTGAACCCTGAGGAAGGTGGCGCAGGAGGAGGAGGAGGAGGAGGGGTTCCTCAGGCCCCGCTGCGGTCAGCAGTGAGCTCCACTCCGGTGAGCTGTCACAGCCTGGGGGCGGATGCACCCCTGTACTTCCTGCGCTCGGGAGGCTGAGGCAGGAGGACTGAAGGCAATTTAGTGATTCAGTGAGACCCTGACTCAAAATTTTAAAAAGGGAATAAAAAATATAGAAAGGGGGCCAGGATGTGCTGAGGGTGAAGGGCCTGTGTTCAGTGCCCAGCACTGCCCTTGCCAAGTCGTATTTGCCCCGAGGAGAGGGGTCCACCCAGAGGGGCTACCGGAAGACGCCACCCTCTGTCTGTTCCTCAGGCACCAGACAGGCACGGGCAGGGATGATCCCTACACCCTCCAGGTCCTCCCTTCTAGGCAAGCACAAAAAGCCAAATCAGACAATGCTGTAAAGTACAAAAAACCCAAACACTGAACCACATTAGAGGAGTCCATGAAAACACATGAATATTAGAATGACTGTTACTCCGAAAGGATAGGTTTTCCTGGTTGAAATTGAAGACAGTGTATACATGTCAGGGGAATACACTATTGAGCGGCCGGGTGCAGGGGTTCACACCTGTAATCCTAGCTACCTGGGAGGCTGAGGCAGGAGGATCACAAGGTCAGCCAGTCAGTGCAATTTGGAGAGATCTTGCCTCAAAAAAAAAAAACAAAAAATTGTTGCCAAGCCTCTGGTGGTGCACACCTGTAATCTCCAGCACTCAGGAGGCTGAGGCAGAGTTCCTGCAGTTTTCTGAAAGCCCTGTCTCAGCTCCAGTTAAGAATTCTGACACTGTGAGGCGAGAGATATGGGTCTTTTTTTTTTGTTTTGTACTGGGGATAGAACTTGGGACTTTGCACTTGCGAGGCAGGCGGTGGAACCACTGAGCTAGCCCTAGTTTTAATTTTTTTTTTTTTTTTTTTTTTTTTATGTTTTTTTTTTTTTTTTTTTTTTTGAAGAGGTTATGTTTCCTCCAGTGAGGGTGTTTGGCTCCTTTATCAGAAATGAGGTGGCCGAGTGTGTCTGGAGTTGTTTCTGCATCTTTTAATCTGTTCCATTGACTCTTGGGTCCTTTTTGGTCCTTTTTTTTTTTTTCTTTTTGGTACAATGCTGTTTTTAATCACAGAGGCTTTGTCGTATAATTTCAAGTCAGGAATTGTGAGATTCCCTTGCCCTGCCTTTGTTATCCAGAATTACCTTTGCTATTCTAGGTCTCTTCTGGTTCCAAATGAATTTCAGGATTTTTTTTTCTTTTTTGGCTTTTTTGAGACAGGGTCTCACTATGTAGTTGAGACTGCCCTAGAAGTCACTATGTAGCCCAGGCTGGTCTTCAACTCACAGCGATCCTCCTGCCTTGGCCTCCCAAGTGCTGGGATCACAGAAGTGAGCCACCATGCCCAGCTTTTTTTTTTTTTTTTTTTTTTTTTTTTTTTGGTATCAGGGAATCAAACTTGGGACCTTGCACTTGCAAGGCAGGTGGAAGATAGGATTGTTTCTAATTCTGTGAGACACACTATTGGAATTTTCTTTCTTTTTTTGGTACTGGGGATAGAACTTGGGTCCTTGTACTTGCAAGGGAGGTGATGGAACCACTGAGCTAAACCCTTGGCCCATTATTGGAATTTTGATCAGATCGCATTAAATTGGTATAACAATTGTTGTAGTGCCAGGTGTGGGTGTGGTAGCACACACCTGTAATCCCAGCACTCAGGAGGCTGAAGCCAGAGGATCAATGAGAGTTCTAGGCCAGACTGGGCTACATAATGAGTTCAAGGTAAGGCTAAACTACACAGCATGGTCCTGTCTCAAAAAACCAAGGAAAGGGCCAGGGATTTAGCTCAATGGTTCTGCTACCTGCCTTGCAGGCACAAGGTCTTGAGTTCGATCTCTGCTACCAAAAAACAAACAAAAGGCAACTTTCACTTCTTGTTAGTAATCTAATAATAGGAGTCTTTTGGTGTGTGGCTTTCATTTCCTTCAATTGATTCTTTTCTTTAATTTTTGTTGGTTTTTTGAGACAGGGTTTTGCTATGTAGTTCAAATTGGCTTTGAACTCACTGTATAGCCCAGGCTGGCTGGAACTCACAGTGATCTTCCTGCCTCAGCCTCCCAAGTGCAGGCATTCCAAGTGTGTGCCACCACGCCCAGTGAGGGTTTGATTTTAGGTTTGACTCCTGCCCACAAGGGCTGGACGTGGCCCTTCTGGGGTGGTGATGGTGGTGTTTGAAGGCCCTCAGAGGAACTGTCACAGTGGCCCGAGCCCACGTGTCAGATGATGACCACAGTCAGTGACGGGCTGATGGGGTGGGAGAGGCCCAGGGTGGCCACAGGCGCTGAGCGAACATCCGGGATTTCCTGTGGGAGACCCAGTTGCCTTTTTCATGGCATTTGGCCTGGGCTCCCTGGTCCTGGCTAATGTTTAACTCTGAAGTTGGACCCAGCCTTCCTTTTCCCTCAGCTGCCTCCTGCCTGGAGTCCGAGACCAGCCTGAGAAGCCAGTGAGATCCCATCAGAAAAGGCAGAGTAGAATGTCATTCAACAGGATGGCGGCTTCATTTTTCCGTAATCTTTATTTAACCACTTATTTGTGTAGCTGTTGTTACCCTTTCTGTTCGTTTGATTTTTGTTTTGCTTTTAGAAACAGGATCTCTCTATATAGTCCAGCCTGGATTTGAGCTCCAAATCTCTCTGCCTTCAGCCTCCCGAGAGGTGGAATCGCAGGTGTGTGTCACCATAGCCGGCATTTAGTTTTTTCTTTTCTTTTTTGTACTGGGGATGGAACTCCGGACCTTGCACTTACAAGGCAGGTGGCAGCACCACTGAGCTACATCCCTGTCCCTGCATTTCTTTTTACTGAGACAGAGTCTCACTATGTAGTTGAGACTGACCTGGAACTCACTATGTAGCCCAAGCTGGTCTTGAACTCACAACGATCCTCCTGCCTCAGCCTCCCATGTGCTGGGATTACAGGTGTGAGCCACCACGCCCGGCTGTTGCATTTATTTCTTGAAACACACCATTGAAGCTGAGTGCATTGGTGCACACCTGTAGTTCCAGCTACTCGGGAGGCTGAGTCAGGAGGTTTGCTTGAACCCAGGAGTTTCACAGCAGACTGGGTAATATAGCAAGACCCTGTTAAAAAGAAAAAAAAAAAGGCTTTCCTGTGTTAGGAGACAGACCGGCAGATCCTCCCCATAATAAAGTAGTAGTTGTTGTAGTTAAAAAAAAAAAAAAGACCACACACACACCAAACAAAAACTTTAAAAACCATTGGTGTTAGCTGGGCATGGTGGTGCACACCTGTAATCCCAGCACTTGTAAAGCTGAGGCAGGATCGTCACAGGTTGGAGTTTTAAGAAACAAAAAATATCAATGGGCTGGGAGCAGTGGCATGCACCTGTAATCCTAGACATTTAGGAGGCTGAGGCAGGAAGACTTCAAGGCAACTTCAAGGCTGGCCTGGGGAATTTGTCTCAACGCTGTCTCAGAAGCAAAACAAAATGAAACAAAACAAAAGACTGGGGCTGTAGCAAGTGGCAGAGAGCTTGGCTAGCAGGTAGAAGGCCCTGGGTTCCGTCTCCAGCATGGGGCTGCGAGGAAGAAAAGAAATCAAGCCCGTTCTAAGAGAAATAATGAGATGACAGGGATGAAGCAATACAGAAGGGGTAATTATCATAAGGAAATGATTATGCCGTCACATCGTAGTTGCACAGTCTGTTTTAATCACTTAATTATCTGAACTGCTACAGTGTTGGACAAAGTATAATTATTTCCTGTCCTCCAGGTGTAGTGATTGAGCTAGGCAAAGTTTAAAAGCCTTTCCAAAGTGCCAGACTGACTGCAATCTGCTACCCCAATAGCACATTCGTGTCTTTATACTCAGAGAGGGTCGCTTGGAGGTGATCTTGTTTGATTTTTTTTAGGGGCTTTTTTTTTTTTTTGGTCTTTTTTTTTTTCACTTTTCTTTTTTGGTACCGGGAATCGAACCCAGGGCCTCACGCTTGTCGGGCAGGCGCTGTGCTGCTGAGCTACATCCCTGGCCCTTGTTTTTTTTTAAAGACAGGGTCTCACTATGTAGTTGAGACTGACCTGGAACTCACTATGTAGCCCAGGCTGGTCTCGAACTCACAGCGATCCTCCTGCCTCAGCCTCCTGAGTGCTGGGATTACAGGCATGCGCCACCACGCCTGGCCCTTGTTTGTTTGTTTTTTAAAATTCATTCTAACACAGCAGTTTTTGTTTTTGTTTTTTGAGACAGGTCTCACCATGTAGTTGATATTGACCTGGAACTCACAGTGATCCTCCTGCCTCAGCCTCCCAAATGCTGGGATTACAGGTATGCACCACCACGCCTGGTTTAACACAGCTTTTTAAAGGAAGTGTTCACAGCCAGGTGTGGTGGCGCACACCTGTGATCCCAGCCCTGGAGAGGCTGCAGCAGGAGGATCGCCATGAGTTTGAGGCCAGCCTGGACTACACAGTGAGTTCAAGGCCAGCCTGAACTGCATTAGCGAGACCCTGTCTCAAAAAAAAAAAAATGAAATGAGATGAAATAAAGGTTGTGTTCACATTAAGGTTTGTTGCTTTTGTTGCACTGCTGGGGACCAAACCCAGGCTGGGAGCATTACAGCCTGTGCTGCACCTTGGAGTTCCGCTGTCAGTCCCAGCTGCATCTCTCTGCACCTATTTTCAGGGTTCACTCGTGGGCTTGCATTGTACCTCCCACCTTCGCATCGGCCCCTGGGGCTCATGCTGAACTGTGGGTTTTTTTCCTCAACAAGGTTTCCTTATGTAGTTCAAATTGGCCTCAAACTCACAGCAACCCTCCTGACTCAGCCTCCTAGCAGAGCTCTAACCCTAGGGGACAGTGTCTTTCTTTTTTCTTGGTACTGAGGACCGAACCCAGGGCCTTTGCATTGAGGAGCTACATCCCCAGCCCTTAGGATCTTGCTGAGTCGCTAAATTGCCCGGGTTGGGCTCAAGCCTGCAGTCCTCCTGCCTTAGCCTCTAGGGGTTCTGGGATTACAGGCGTGCGCCACCACGCCCAGCTACATTTTTGCTTTAGATAATCAGATATTTAATGTGTGGGGAAATGGGAAGAGAGTGTTCAAATGGGAAAGGGAACAAGGGAGAGGGGAGGAGGAAAGAAGGGAAACAAAGCTTTTGTGTATGGGGGTGGAGGGGAGGGGAGAATGGGAAAAAGCGAAGGGGCAGATGTATCATGTATTGGTGCAGATTCCTTGTGATGAGTGTTAGTGCCATATATCTAAAGTGTGCCAATAAATGTTTTGCTTCCAAAACAATCATAGTTGAAAGAAATTAACAGAAACAGTAGTGTTTTCTATTTATCTGAATACTTTGCATTTCCAATTTATTCCTGAAGATTTGAATTTCCATTTGGTATCATTTCTCTAGGGCCTAAAGAACCTGAAACATTTCTTTGTCTATTTCTTATTTTGGTTTTGCGATAAGGTCTCACTGTGTCATCGGGCTTACCTTGAACTCACTATGCAGCCCAGGCTGACCTCAAACTCAGAGAAATCCTCCTGCCTCAGCCTCCTGAGTGCTGGGATCACAGGTGTGTGCCACCACACCCGGCGTTTCTTCCCTTCCTCTGGAGTGTGCTGGCTCTAGACGCAGAATTCCGGGGACAATGGGTCTGCTTGTTTTTCTTTGAGGATTTGAAGCCACTCTGCCTGAGGCTGGGATGCAGCCTAGCAGTAGAGAGCCTTGCCTTGCAGGGTGAGGCCCTGAGGTTTTTTTCCCAGGCCTCAGTTTTCAGCAAACTGACTCCTGGCTCTGCCGGGCCTTGGTCCCATGGATTTACCTGGGTGTCACTTAGGGGCTTGAACCTGTCCTTCAGTGAAGTTTGGAAATGTTTGGCCATCACCTCTCCACGACCTACTGGTATGCACTCTCTTTCTTTTTTGACACAGGGTCTCGATATGTAGCCCAGTCTGACCTCAAATTCATGGTGGTGATCCGGCTGCCTCCCAAGCGCTAAAATTACAGGCGTGTGCCACCACGCCTAGGAGAAACTCTTCAAGCAGCTTCCCCTACACCTTTCACTTGCGGTTTGTAACAAAAACCTCTGAATGAGAGACAGTGAGAACCATCCCTCCACAAAAACTTTAGTTTTTTGGGACAGGGTCTTGCCCTGTAGCAGCTCAGGCTGATCTTGAACTCCTGATCCTCCTCCCTCAGCCTCCTGAATGCTGAGATTACAGGCCTGTGCCAACATGCCCAGCTCACACATTACAAAAAAAAAATTCTTGAGTCAATTAGTTAATGTTCGCACAGAAAGGCAGCTTACCCTGGATCTATTTACTCGTTCATTTTACAAATATTTATTGTACAGGTACTGGTGCAGTGACTTCGGCTAGAATAATGAAGAGACAAATAACTGATACTGAGGAAATGGAAAGAGCTTTACAACAGGGGTACTAACATTGAATTCCCATAACCACTCTATGAAGAAGTAATATTATCCCCATTTGACAAATAAAGAGCTCAGACTTAAAGAGATTAGGTAATAGGTTCACACAGCCAATAAATATCAGAGCTAGTTTTTTTCTTCAGAGCTAGATTTTGAACCCAGTTAGTCTAGCTCAATAGTTTGTGTGTGTGTGTGTGTGTGTGTGTGTGTGTGTAGGCGGGGGTCTCACTATGTTGCCCAGAATGAACTTTGGGGCTCGACTGAGACCCAGTCTCAAAAACAAAACAAAATGGGGCTGGGGATTTCATTCAGTGGTTCCGCCACCTGCCTCACAAGCATAAGGTCCTGAGTTCAGTCCCTGGTACCAAAAAAACGAAATCAAACAAGACACCCAGGGGCTCTTTTAGATTTTTATTTTTTTAACATTTAATTTTATTTTTTTTTGTAAATCTCTGATAAAGGTAATTTTAGAATTTTTTCTCTTTTAGAAAGAAAAAGGGCTGGGGATTTACCTCAGGGGTTCCACCGCCTGCCTTGTAAGCACAAGGTCCAGAGTGCGATCCCTGATACAAAAAAAAAGAAAAACAAGGATTTTAGTTATTTGCATAGTAAACGGGTAAATCATTCTCATTCTATACATAATTTGATTTGCTAAGCATCATTTAGTATTGGCTGATCATTCTACTTGGCTGTTTGTGTTCCTGTGTGTTTGTTTTGCGGTACTGAGGGTTGAATCCAGGCCTCTCCACTGAGCCACGTCCCCATGTCTTTTTATTTTGAGTCAGGGTCTTGCTGAGTAGTTATGTTGCCAAGCCTGGGCTTGAACCTGTGATCCTCCTGCCTCAGCCTTCCACAGTGCTGAGATTACAGATGTGCACCACCACACTGGGCTTATTTGGTTTAAGTAAAAGCTGCTTCAGGGAATTAAGTTTTGCTGTGGTTTGCCATGTTTTCATCTTATTTGTGCCAACAAATAATTTTTTTCTTGAGACAGGGTCTTGCTGCATACCCCAGGCTGGGCTTGGACTGGCGGCAGTGTTCTCACTATACGGCCTCCTGAACGCAGGGATTACAGGTGTGCGCCATCTTGCCAGGCTCTGAAAATGATTTTTTTAAAGGATGTCTTCCCATATGATTAAACCAAGGAATTATTTATATTTCTAGAATTTAATGTAGTACATGTTATAAATGTCCACGTGTTATGAATGGATGAGTTATAAGCAACAGATTATTCATAATAAGGAGACACGGACGTTCTTTTTAAAAGTTTATACAATATAACACTTGATTTTTCAGTTAATACATTTTGGCAATCCTAGCTGGGGGTGCGCTGGCAAAAACCTGTAATCCCAGCACTCAAGAGGTGGAGGCAGGAGGATCGCCGTGAGTTGGAGGTCAGCCTGGCCTACATAGTGAGTTCAGCTGCATAGTGAGTGAACTGCATAACCAGACCTGTCTCAAAAAGAAAAGAAAACAATGAAGTGGAAAGCAAGTAAACACCATACACGATTGCCTTTAACTGCTTCCCGATTGTTTTTTTGTGACAAGGTCTCACTCTTTAGTTCGGGCTGGCCCCAAACTGGCGGCTACCCTCCTGCCTCAGCCTCTCCTGTGCTGGGCTTACCGGGTGTGCCACCACGCCCGCCCCAATTGTTTTAAAGATTTGTTTCCTTCAGTTTGATTGTAGACTCCTCCGAAGGAAATTCTTCTGCAGTCTTCACAGAGCTCGCGCGGCCGGAACACACAGCAGGTGCTCAGCAGCTGCTCGCTCACAGGCTGGAGGAGTTGGCAGTGACACGCTACACCTGGAGGAGCCCCGCGGCGGGGATCAGCCCCCTGGCATCGCCACGCCTGGGATCCGCAAGCCTGGGATCCGTCCTGAGCAGCCCCCCATCCCCCAAGGACGTGTTGTTTCAACTTCCAGGGCCAAAAAAACCTTTCTTCCTCGGGACATTCCCCAGGTTCTGCGCAGACAGCCGACCAGAAAGAACTCAGCTGCGGTCCCACCTCAATCTCAGCTACCGGGGAGGCCGAGGCGGAGGCCTCCCGAGTTCAGCGGTTGGAGACAGGTCTGGGTGACAGTCTCAAAAGCAATGCAAAGGGAAAATCCCGTAAGGCCAAGCCTCATCTCATCTAGCTCTAGATTTATGCTAAAATGCAGTCACAATCCATAGGACGACAGGAAATAAGGGCATTTACGTAATTAGGATTTTTGGAAAGTAGAGATTTCACAGCAAGTTAGGCGCAGGGCACCGCGCTGCTGAGTAGATGTGCTTGCTGAGCGGTAGGTATTAGCGTCTCCGTGAGATCATGTGGAAAGATTGAAAGTGTATTCTTTGGTTTTCACGCTTGCAATACGATGACTCTACACTTAAAAATGTACCCGGGTAGGACGGGCGTGGTGGCGCAGGCCTGTAACCCCAGCACCCGGGGGCGGGGGGCTGAGGCAGGAGGATCGCCACAAGGTCCAGCCAGCGGGGGCTACGCAGCGAGTTCAAGGCCAGCTTGTTTATTTACAGCCGGGCTCAATACACATTGTACGCGGGCATCTCTTTGGTAACGAGACCAGAATTAGAGACCGAGCTCAGTGCAGGGCTGACGTCCACGCTGGACGGCGCAGGTCCCAGGTGCGCGCAATCGGGCCGGCTCGGGGCAGACGGGCGAGAGCTCCCGAGCGCAGGTCGGGTTGGTCGGAG